TTTTCAAGGCTCATCCGCGGATGCACGGACTTGAAGGAAGGGGAAGGCGCCTTGTTATATAAGGGTCACGAAGAGAAGGCGTAAGAGTACTCTGGGACTAGGCCTACTTGAGTTCCCCGGTGGGTATTGTCTTGTGAAGAGACCAACAACAACAACAACAACAATAATAAAAAAATGAATTGGACTTGGAACATGCAACTGTTGTATCACTTTTATGCTACGGTACCTAGGCTGCTGTAGTACTACTGCCGAGCTTGTAGTTTCATGTCTGTTTCAGACTAGTCTTGTGCGTGTGCAACAAAGGACATGGAGACGAGTAGCCGCCACTGCTCGGAACAACTCATCCATGATCTGTCCAACCCTGCCGCCGCCGGCTTGTGCCCGGAGATGCTGGAGGTCGCCGAGGAGGCCTGGCGAGCCGGAGATTTCAACCTGGCGGCCGAAATCTACGCCTCGCAGCTGGCCGGTCTCCCGCAGCCCGACCGGGGCTTGTGCCTGCGGAAGGGAGATGCCCTGGGCCGGGCCGGGCGCATCTCCGAAGCCCTGGACTCGTACTGCACGGCGGCTCGCCTCGGCCGGCTGCGAGCGGAGGAGCTGCGGCTCCTGGTGGAGAGCATCGCCCAGACCCTCCGGGACAAGGAGCTGTCCGGCTTGGAGCGGAAGAAGAGCGAGGCGGCTGACCGACCCGGGGCGAAACCGGGCGGGGACGGGAGCCCGCAGGGCGGCGGCGGCGACCCGGCCGAGGAAGAGGGGCCGCCGGACTTGTTCTCCTGTCGGCTTTGCAAGCGCTTGCTGTCCGAGCCCACCACGCTGCAGTGCGGACACACTTTCTGCAAGCCGTGCCTGGAGGACGGCGCGGTCACCGAGTGCCTGGTCTGTGCGTACAAGCTGGATAAAAGGCACGGGCAGCTCTTCCCCCTCGGCTTCAAGGTGAACGTCATCCTCGGCGGCTTGCTGGACAAGTGGTTCGCCGCCGAGAGCAGAGCCCGGAGGCTGTGGCTGGAAGGAGACAGCCTGTGGAAGACAAGGGACCTGGAGACCGCGTTGGAGAAGTACGACAGAGCAGCAGAGCTGGGTAGGTGGTTTCTCTAAACGCGCTTTGTTAGGAATAAAATGTGCGTATGTAACCACTTGGTTCCGGATGCACGGAAAACGGGTTATTATGCCTGTGACCTACTTTCTTCCGACGATATACATGTCGACGCTGGAAGGCGCTGTGTCCCCTCCCCCCAAAATGAAACGACGTCGTCTAAATAGAAACCTTTTTATAACCCTTGCCCCGGGGAGGGAAAAAAAGTTCCGATTTGCGTCTTTGCATTGAGCGGTATGCGGTTAGATCGTGGAGCCGGTCGAGCGCCTTGATGAGGACACTCTCGGCACCAGTTGCTTACCAGTTGCACAGAACTGAGCTGCTGACAGCGAGCGCTGTGGCTTTTTAAGAATGAGTAGGACTGCTTGTGGTAGGTGGACTACAGAAGGCTGCCCGATCCGGTCTTCTCCGATCGCATCCAATGAATTAGCCTGTGGCCTGCATGTGCATGATGTTCAGCACCCGTTTTAGATTTACGACTTCAGCCGTCATGAAGGTTGAACGGCACGCGTTGTAAACCGAGTTACAGTTTTGTGTAATAAACGTAAGAATGACAGAAAACTTCAGCAGATGATATGATCGCACGGATGACGTTGTCTGGAAATGTCTCCATCGTGTGTTCTGGCTGCGAGATGTTTCTGGCGTCTTTACTGGAATTGGGGATTTTGGAAGATTTTCCCTCTGAAATGTATTTAAAATAAACTTGCATGGATATTGTTTTGTAAAAAAACAACAACTGAAGCTCTACATCCCGACTGCTGGTGATTATAATCGTTAACACTTCCCCGTAGTGTGCTGTAGACCCCTGTAACCGTCCAGCAGCTTCTGTAAAAACGACTGCAGGCAGATTGAATTGAAGCGATGGCTGTAAGTCTTCGTTAACTATCAGGGACTGATACTGCTGTACGTTTCCATCTCTGAGCTTCTGAGGAGTTGTGGAACTTTCCCTTCAGGGAGCTTGATACCTTCTGTACATTCTTAGAAACAAGCTATGATCATTGTAAAACTTGACATGAACATAATGGTTACCAAGGACAGGAAGAGAACCTACACTTCTGCTCGGTACAGCTGTAGCACTCAGAGGGATCTGCTCAGCTGAACACGAACAGAACAGCAGGTAAAGGAGATGGCTCATGTTTGTGCCAGGGTTAAAGTAGGGAGCATGATAGTCAGCGTTTTGACAGAACTGAGCTGTTTTGTCCAAGACGACATCCAGCTCATTTTGTCTTTTAGTGGTTAATTGATCCAAGAATGTCATCCAGCCGTTTCTGGGAAGAAGCCTGGGTACAGGCTTCAGCTGAACTGCGGGATTGGTTTCGGCGGTGTGGGCTGTGTATTAGTTTGTAAGTTTGATTTCCTCACGGCCTTTATTGGTGTGACGTCATCGGACTGCTTCAGACAGCTGATGGGGGCAAGCAGCACATGGGTCCATCTGTCCAGTAAAAACACACAGCCGAGTGCAGAACAGATATTACACGCGGTGCAGGAGTGCCCCAGTGCAGAAAGGCACAGCACTTGTACAGAAGTAAGACTTTCTTAAAGGGGGTGAGGGGGAGAGAGGGTTGGAAAGCCAGGGTCTTGAATCTGCTGACTATGCTTCAGTCAGAATATGGCGAAGACGAGTATGGTTCACTGAGAGGGGAACCACTCCTTCACAGTTCTGCAGTCATTGGGAGCTCTAGCCAGTTCATGCAAAGACCAGCGTGTCAGCCCAGCCATGATCAGAAAGCTGATTAATCCCGGTAAAGGCCATGGCTTCCCAAAAACCTGCCCTGGCCGCCTACACCCCAGACGGGACCCCAGGTAACCTAGCCAGCATGTCCTTCCGGGAGCAGAGTGGTGCCCCCAGAGAGCATGCAAACTCCACACGGAAGTCACCCCACTTCAGAACTGAGCCCGGGACCTGGCAGCTGTCAGTCAGCAACACTGCAACACTCCAGTTGTATTGGAAAGCTGTCCACTGTGTTGCCACTTCCTTCCACTGAAGTCACCCACAGAGCTGGGCTTGGTGACTTTGTGGGAGTGGATAAATATTTTAAGGAATTTAGACAGCCTTCTCAACTTTAAACCCCAGTCCACTCAAGTTTGGCTAACAATAACCACTGGCAGGGTCCGTACGACACAAGACTCAACCAGGCTTGTCTAAACATGAAGTGTGGCTCTTGGGGTCATATGTAGTTTTCTTCATCTGCTGTTGAAATGTTACTGTAGTATAACCATGAGATATTGCAACCTTTTGAAAGATGGAAGTTGCCTTATTTATTTTTTTTTGCAAAAAACTTTTCCCACTTATAAAAAAAAAAGTTAAAATATCATCCGGATTTCATCTGGTCTCTGGCAAAGAAGATGTTATTTGAAGGCAGTCACATGTCTGCTGCTTGTGTAATCCCTTTCGGATGTAGGTCAGAGCTAGTAATGCTGTTATGAAATGAGGTTTTAAGATGTTTGCGAATAATTTGGTTGAAGTTCAAAATTAAAAAGCAAAATTTAACTTGTGAAACAGTGAGTGTTGTAGAATCCATAGAGAAGGCTATGGTGTGATCACAGGTCCAGCCATTTCGGCACCTTATCTGTTCAGATCGAGCTCTTTTGCAGTTAGAAGTGGTTGGCTCTGCCCTGCTTCCAGAAAGGTAGGCAAAGGAGAACAGTTGTGGTCTTGATTAATCAGATGTCTAAAGGCCAAAAATGCTAATGTTCAATTATTTTCCTTCTAACATCCTTGCATGTTGCTGCATACGTCCTACAGCTTGCTAATTTCAGATAATAACAGCATTTAATATTCAGCATCATTTCTTTCAATTGGGTCTAGGCTTTATATCCATCATGAACCAGGCATGTTTGCTGAAGCACCTTCTACTCTACGGCGTTACACAGTGACAGAAGTGCTGTAACTTGTCAGCATAGACCAGAGGCATGTATTTATCAAGGAGAATGGCTGGTCCAAGGCTTAGTTCACAAGGTCAAAATGAGAAACGTGGATGAGCGTGCTGGGGGAAGGGTGTGGGAGATCTGAGGGTTGAGAGGTCAGCCTAGAATTGGCCATTGATAATTGCCTTTCTTCTCTGCATGTCTATGACGAGCACCAGTGCAGTACCTAAAAAAAAGTCCTTTATATGGTAGGACAGCATTGTTATGTTTAACCGTTTTGTTCATTTCTGCCTTAAGGATATGTTTAGTATAGAATTCATAATTATTCATGAATTCCCTTATACACATAGACTTAGAATTAGTAGTGCTAATAAATGGCTAGTGTGAAGGGACTGTCTTTCATATAAAGTATATCTGTTCACTTTTTGTCCAAGTATTTTGTCAAGAGCTATACTGAGGATCAGAAGAAACGCAGCCCTTACAACGGAAATAAATCCACAAAGCAAATCACAAAAAAAGACATTGCCAGCCTGTGTTCTTGTACTCGCCTTTCAATGTCGCTGAATAGCCTGGGCAGGTACAGTAACATCATGCACAGTAATGATGTTGACGAGCAGGGAGCCTCCTGTGAAAATCACAAGCAGCTGTTGCTGGAAGTGATGCATACTGTGCATGTGGAGCACACATGGCATGCATCAGGACACGTATGTTGTGTTGTGGGATTCAGCCCCTTTCCTCTCCTAGAGGCTGGACAAGCGTGTGTCTGTCGGCCATGTCCCATCTCTGCTCGTCCCACTGCTGTTCCGTCTGGGCTCGCGTCTGCAGAGCTGGGTCCTCCCAGGCTGAACTACCTCGTTCCCGGCTCTCGGAGAGCCGTCTCTGCACGAGCCACAGGGCGTGCGCTGTTCTGCCCGTCGGGATGGACCGGTGGAAGTGTGGTCCCAGGGCCCTGACCAGCGCAGCGGTGTGCAGTCTGGTTAACCAGAGCAGGTTTCTGCAGGGAACCACCGCCTCTGTCCTGGACATCAGACTTGACCCTCCCTCGCAGGCGTTCGGTTCTCCGCAGGCAGTTGTGTATTCCTACGCTCCTCTGTGGGACCCTTGCTGGAGTCCCTCAGGGAGGTTGTTGCTAAAGAAGACCTAGGCTTCATTGCTGGAGATGCTTAACCGAGCTGTCAGCTCAACATACTGAGGGCACGAAGGCGTCGCTTTCTTGTTAAGCCATGTATGATGATGTATAACCTTCCTAGTTTTTTTTCTTGATTTAAGCCAGGCTTGGCGTTCGTCTGGGAAAATCCTGACTGGGTTTGCCAGTGAACTCTCTCTCGCTCATGAGTCTGCTGCATGAGCATTGATCTCCTCCGCTGCATCCCGGTGACCAATCAATAAAAATTACTCCAAGAACTTTAAATCAATATCCAAAATACACATGAATGAGCTTTTGATTCCTCGCATTCATTATTACTGGTAAAGTATGTTTCCTAATTGGCAAGTTACTTTCTGAATCCTTTAAGACTTTTTTTCCCCCTGCTGCTTACTGACCTTGTTTTTGGTGTCTGGAAAGTGTATTCTCTTACTCACCCTGTCACTACATTAACGCGTGCTCTTTGAATTTCACAGCTCCTTTTGACTACATGTTGTTGGGGCAGCGAGCTGAACTCCATATGGAAATGAAAAACTATAACCAGGCCATTCAAGATGGGGACAGCACATGCAGGCTGAGACCACTCTGGCCCAAGGTAAACCACCGAGACATCTGTTACGACCATATGTGTGCTGAAAAGTACCTGGCGAAGTCACAAAGTCAGGCATAGCTGAAACTATTGCTGCTCAGGGTGCTTTTTAGTTTTTTCTACAAGGCACTGCATAAGGGCATTTCTGTTAATTTATTCTGTGGTGTAAAAATGCCAAAAAGTTACCATGAAATAACATATGCCTTGCAATATGAGAGGCTTCGCCCATGAACGCTGAACATGTAGTCACTCCAGATGGCTCTCTTAATGTGTAAAGAGGCTGTAATTGCCAGATATGCAGTGCGTCTGTCATTTTTTCGGTCTTGCAGTTTAATAGATTATCTGCTCAGACAGGACTGAGCTCTCCGTGTGAGACCACGGCTACTGTATGCATCTTCTTTTCAGTGTATGCACGCTGCTCTGTAATACAGAAAGTGTTTGACAGTGTTTATGCACCATGTATTTGCATACATGTTAAATTATAGCTTTTTATTTTACAGCATTGATGTACAAAAAGCCTTCTGAGGAAAACTTAAAAAAAATCTTCCATCTTCATTGTGTTTAAAAAATAAACCATGTGCTTGGAAAAAAAACTATAGTAGTAGACTGTAGCACTGTGGTATTGGAAACTGTTAATTCAGGCAGGTTTATGATTTTGAAAAGCACTTGAATTTATCGCTTGAAGTGCACTTAAACAGGGCTGCCTCTAAGAGCATGGAGTGGCTAATCTGATTGATATAGGTGTTCATTCTCCTGACTGGTGTTGGACAGTAATTCAAATGTGGGGTATGTCATTGTCGCATCCTGTTTTAAATTTATTCAAGTTGTTCTCATAGTGTTTCTTATGTAAATGCATCCCACAGCCATTTCTCTGTTTTGTCCTGCCCCTTGTGTAGTTCTTTCGTATTTGTTTCTCATCTGAAGGAATGGAAATTTATCTGTGCATTAAAGTAATATTGGATTGCTTTAATGAAATCATAGATGCATTAACAGAAGTAAACAAGTTTCTTTTCTTCGCACACATACTCAATTAAGATTAGTCGTCCGACAATGTCTTGTTGGCTGTGTCCGTAAACTAGTTTAAGAGGAAGTAAGCTGGTGGTTTTGGACCTCAAGAAAACTTAACATTTATCAAAGGTCACCTCGGGGTCACCAGGGTGTGGTAGCTTAGCAACTGATGACCAGACTTAAATTTGGATATAGATTTGTGCCACATAAGGGATTTTACTTTTTCAGTTTAAGTTACATGATGCCACCTGCCCATAACAAAATGCATCGGAAACTGCCTGCTTTTTAGAGAAGCCTTATCTTTTCACCTGTGTTTCAAGATGAGAAAAAGCTCCTTTAGATCTCAAAACCAACTCTTTTGAGTCTCTCCACTCTGAGTTATAGTCTGGTCATTTTCCTTTACCTAAGCCTTCACATCTGTCGCAGCGTCATCCTTCAGGCTTGAAGCGAGTCAGATAAGTGTGAGCATCCTGGTCCCTTCCAGTTGTGGACTGGAAGATGATGTTACTTGAAGTATTGTAACCTCTGTACCCTGTGCCCTTGAACAGGCCCACTTCCTGAAGGCAGCAGCTCTGGCCAAGGCTGGGAGGACAGAGGAGGCCTTGCAGGAGTATTTCTTCTGTGTCGCACTGAGACCCGACTGGAGTTCAGCCAAACTAGAAGCGCAAAAGGTAGAGGGTGCCCATCCATATATTCTGTGTAAAGTCACGTTTGCGTTCCTGCCGCCTGTTCTGGTGACGGTTTGCAGGCAGTACCGGGGACATCTCTGAAACGCTGGGGGATCAAGGGTGCCGAGTGACTTGGTAGTATGTTAACTTTTTTTTCCATAAACGTCTGCAAAAATGTGATCATGCCCTAATTTAGAGTGTGGTGGGCTGCTGAAGGAGATGATCACGGGTGTGTTTTGAAATCCTCGGAGCGTCATTCCCGTTCCTCTACATCCGCAGATCCTGAGCGAATTGTTTTCCTCGGTCTTCGAGAACAGCAGCCTGCCCGCACCGCTGTCTGCCTGCCCCAAGCCCTCTGTCCTCAGCTCCCCGGGCGCCCCCACGGCAGGGGACGGCCCGCGGCCGGGCTCCTCCCAGGTACGCCTCCTGCTCCAGCCCCTGCTCGCGCCCCGCTCGGGAATCGATCGCGGAGAGGCCGAGATGTGAAAAGAAAAATTCTCTTTTGCAGGACCCGGTGTTGAAAGTAGCCAGGAATCCGCCTGGAGAGAGCGGAGCGCCCTCCGGTGTCGGTCCTATGAAGTTACCTCAGTCTTTGTCGAAACTTGAATTCCCCTGTGAGGACAGAAAGACCCTGACGCCTGTGCTTTCAAGTCTTCCTGGTCCCGTCCTCAAGAGAAAAAGCCCCAGTGACTTGGCCAGCTATGGTCCTCCCAGCAAACTGCTTAGACAAGGTGAAGATCTGTGTGCGGCGGCTCGGGGGGATTGCTTTGCTTTGAGCTTTTTACTCCTTTATTTGTGTTCTCGGTTGTTTTTGAGTTTTGTCCGGCTGGGTGTTTACCGTCCGAGAGGGGAACTTGTGAGTTAACTTTTGAGTTTTTTTTTTAATTAACTCGACAAAATAAAGAGGAAGAAAGTTCTCCACTGATCGGGATCGTTACGAAAGGGGCACCCTTCAGACATAACAAGCTGACATAAAATAACTTGTGCACAACTCTTAGAGGAGCTATATGGTGAATTAAGAGATCGGTTTGCATGGAATGTGCTGTAGATAATTCACTTTCATCAGCTGGTTACTTGACTTTGTTATATAAAGACTAATACATTTTGGTTCCATTGTTGGTTTGCGTAGGTGGGGACTGTTTACCTCAGAAACCCACAGCTCCTAATGGACGGAGGGAAGTTCCTACTCAGCTTGTTGACAGCTCAGACATGGAATGCTCTCTCTGCATGAGGTACTAACCCCTTTATACCGGCACTAGAAAGACTGACCTTGGAAAGATACACCCAGAACAGCCCAGTTGTGTGTTTTGGATCTCCATCAATAAGTTGATATTCCAGGTGTGGCCTACATTCTGATGACTTACATGCATTTAATTAGAATTTACACTCGTGCTGTAAATTAAAATGCATGAGAAGTACCATCTTAGATTTATATATACACATTGATTCCCAACCATCCCGTCTGGTGACTGAATTTTTAGGACTTCCGTGCCTGTTCCCAGCTGATAGGTGCTCCCAGTCGCAGCAGGGGTTGAGTTCGTTGTTTTTGTTGTTTTTTTAAAATCGAGTGGATTTAAGAAATGCGTTCGTGTCCTGGGTGCGAACTGAGAACAGACTGGACACAACTAAACTGTTAAGTGTTGTGGCCATTGTCCAGCCATAGTGTTGTAGCCAACAACCTTGGCTTCTTTCAGGAAACAGCTGGGTGAGATCCTCAGGTTAATTAACTACTAAAAGTAGTTAAGTAGTTAATTAACTACTAAAAGATAACATAAGCAAGATGAGTTGAATGGCTCATTCGCCTTGGATGACATGGTCAATTCTGTCATAACACTGACTGCCATTTTCAGGCCCTACGCAAACATGACCCATCTCGTACACATCTGTACTGAGCATAAGTGGAGGCTCTCTGGGGTAACTGTGCATTTCCGGGCTTAATAAATGATTAAATATTGATTACTTTGGCCTCTTAAAGATCTATAACCCAAGCCTTTTTTTACTTTACTAATAGCTCGTTGCTACAGCCAAACTGCTCATCAGATTTTCAGAAGCACGAAATCCAGATGTCGTCCTCTGTAGTAAACGATGCATAGATGTTCGTTTCCATGACACAAACATGCTTGGCTCTGCTGTATGGATGCATTCTTGAAAGATGGCAGCCAGATCTGTGATGGGTTCACCAGGGTGGGATCTAAACCCGAGATCCAGACACGGGCTGGAGTGCTTGGACCTCATTTTATTCCATTTTGCATTGACTTTGAGATTTTGACCTTTAACTTTGAAGGCAGCAGAGGGAATCTTGTGTCTTTTAGTTTTCAATCACTGACTGCTTGTAAGGCCCCCAAACCAGATTAGGTTGAGCACATCTAGCATGTTTTTTTCCTCGTGTTGAGTTCGGCCTATTTTTAAGTCCTGCCTCAAACAATTGCTTGTTTAGAATGATTATTTTTACACCTGAAGGTTGAAGCACTTTGTAATTGTACATTACTTTATAAATAATCAAGTGCTGTCCTTGATTAAAAAAAGAAAGTTTTATAAGAAGGACTTTATAAAATGTATTCTGATGACAACCAATGTTTTTGGAAAATTTGTTTTACTAGATAATTTTCTATTTGCCACTAAACAGCCAGCATGCTCACACTTGCAAACACTATGTGAATTTATACATTGAAATTAAAATTAAATTTTTTGAAGTAGATCCAGTAGCCGTACAGAGATTTACAGATGTACAAAACTATTTCACGTATCCTTGTGGTTCATTCTTCCCCATCTCTGTGTACGCCTGAGTTGCATGGCTTTTATCCTGTGTCTTTTTTTACTTGCAGGCTGTTTTATGAGCCAGTCACCACTCCCTGCGGGCACACCTTCTGCCTCAGATGTATGGAGCGCTGCCTTGACCACAATCCCAACTGCCCTCTGTGCAAAGAGAATCTTTCGGAGGTACAGCGCCTGTCTTAACGCCCATTATTTCAGCCATGTCACTCGGGGTACCTCAGTGAGCACAGCCTACCCTTCTAGAGCTCCTGCAAGTGTGGTGTCAGAACCACATCTTCCTCTTTTCCGTTCGCTTTCGCCGAGCTCATCGGAAGTAATCGCAGTCCACAAGTAGCTCTTGGAACGTGGATGTGGTGAAGATGAAAAAAAATGATGTATTCTTGTGTTTGCTGGTTAATTTCAAAACCTTTACGTAGGGGAAAAGGCTGCATTTTAGACAATAAGGTTGTGTTTTATGATTATTAAAACTGACCAACAAAAGCTCATGTAGTTGAAATGTATAATATTATAGAACTATGCAAAAAGTGACATTTTAAAGAAAATAGAAATATCTAAAAATAAATTAGCTATGTTATAACTAAAAGGACTGACCGCGCTTTAATAAAGTAATAAGGTTACTCTTAATTCTCAAGAAAACAGTTTTCTAAACTTAAATTTGTCCAGTTCCTGAATAGCTTCTTTCATATACATAAAAGTGTCATTTCATCCTTAAAAAAGCCAATAGATAATAAATAACCATTGTTTTCTAATTTCCCAAAGCAACCCAGTGAATGTTACATAGATGGTAAAGATTTAATGTTTAATAAATGTTACAATTTTAAAGGACTTAAGTATTGATGAGCAGAGACATGACTTGACCGACCAGTCTTTTCTTCTGTGTGTGTGGAATAAATAAGAAAGCAAAGTAACTGTTATGAGGTAGTATAAATAAAAAAAAACTTCCAGTTGTAAAATGTCACAATTAGTTTTTTTTTATCCACTCTGTGTTAGAGTGTAGGTCTTTCCTTGCTCACTCAGAGATGTTCAACCTTGGGATGAAGTTATTTCTTGTAAGAAGGGAAATGACAGCCATGCTGGGCAACCTTCTTTAAAACCATTCTGCAAAAAAAAACACTAACGGGGGGGGGAGACGAGTACGCCCTGTGTCGACTGGCCTGTGAGCCTGGCAGTCGGGGAGTTTCCCCCAGCAGAGCGCTCCGGGCTCCAGAGTTTCTTCTGCTCTCGTACACCCTTGACAAGCCCATTCGTTCTGAAGCAGCAGCCAGTCCCCACCAAGAACCCCTTCGTACTTCTGAAGCAGTTTGTCCCAGGACTGTATAAACAACCCTCGCCAAGCCAGAGGGGCGAGCATCCGAGCTGAGCAAGAGTCTCGGAACTCGGCCAGACATTCCTGGGACACCGTATGAGTGAAGCTTGTGTCCTCTAAGTTTACGTCTTGTAAGTCTGAGGGCATTTAATTTTTTTTTTTTACCAAGATGGATCTGTATTTTTCTGTACGGTTTTGTTGCGCTGTCCCCGTTTCTGTTTTCTTGTGTGTTGGCGAGTGATCTGTGCAACGCGTCGGGAGTCCAGTCCGTTCGGTTAACGAATGATCATGTTTTCAGCTCGTTGGTAGCAATTCTGTTCCCTGTTCCTTTTGTGAACCTCTTGAACAACGTTTAGCTTTTCAGACCGCTAAGTTGTTCGGAGTCTTGGAAGCTTGACGTTCCTGCAGAGTCGGGACTCGAAGGTCCTTGTCTGTTCCTGTCGGTCCTCTCGGACACCTTTTTCTGGATGGAAACGTTTGGAATCGGCTTGGGAGTTTCAGTACCCTCAAGACGCGCGTCCGTTACCTTCTTGCTCATTAAGATGTCTCTCCAGTAACACTGGAGGAGTGGGCCGAAGACCCCCGGCTGCTCACGCCCATCGGCTCCTGAGCCCTGAGTCTGGGGTCTGAGGCACTCAGACCTGTCAAAGGAGGTCTAAGACTTGGCGGTTCTGACTTGTGCTCATCGTTCATCTTTTATTTCGGGGGGGAAGTTTCGCCCCTGACGGTTCGGATCTCCTTCTCGCCGCAGTATCTGGCTGCCAGAGCGTACAACAAGACCTGCCTGATGGAAGAGGTCCTGGTCCGCTTCCTGTCGGAGGAGCTGGCCGAGCGGAAGAAGGTCCACGAGGAGGAGCTGAGGGAGCTGTCCAAGTAAGCAGAGCCCTTCTCGCCTGCGGGGGTCCCCGGGGGGCTTGATCAGCGGCACGTCCTTTGCTTTAATTTTACACGGCTGTGGGTTTTCCTAGGCCTTCTCGTATCTCGTTCCTGTCGGTCCACCGTGGCCACGCTGCCTGTGAAAGGGGTTGTGTCTTGATGTATGTTACACGTCTACCGCAGACTGAACTGTATGCGCATCTGCTTTTTTTTCCCCCCCAAGTCTCGGCGGAGTTCCTCCGCGAGGAGGTTTTCAGGTTAGCTGAGGAAGGAAAAAATTGGCACAAAAAAAAACTGCGTCTCTATTTCAGGCAGAGGTTCTTAGGTTTATTTGTCTTTTGTCCTCAAGTTTTCGATAGTGTAGTATCTTCTGATTTAAGAATATTGCAGTTGTAATGGAATGACGCAGTGGCCAGCATTGTTACCTCGCAGAGCTGGGGTCTGGGGTGCTGTGTGTGTGTGGAGTTTATGTTCTCCCTGTGCTCACATGGGTTTCACCAGCTTGCCTCTGGACTGTGGGGTGGGTTAACTGGCCGTGCGAGTGTGTGCGTGTGCATTTGCGTCAGTGTGTCCCCCTGTAAAGGGCTGGCATCCTGTCCAGGACGTGTCCTGTCTTGTGTCCGTTACCTGCTGGGATAGGCTCTGGCTCCGCCGCGATCTGGAAGAAATGGTTAGAAAATGGATGGATGTCATTCATATATATATACAAAATATTTTTAAAAGCCAGCCAGACCCAAGGCTGCTTGTGGCGGTGCAAGGGAAGTTCACGTGCACGTAGTCTGGGGAAGTCAGTCAATCTTGTGTGCCTGCTGCCCTCGAGGGAGGCTGTAACATGGGCTTTCCTTGCAGCTTGAATAAGGAAGTGCCCATCTTCGTGTGTACCATGGCATTTCCCACGATCCCCTGCCCGCTGCACGTCTTCGAGCCGCGGTATCGGCTCATGATCCGCAGGTCCATGGAGACGGGCACCAGGCAGTTCGGGATGTGCATCGCCGACGAGCTTAAAGGGTGAGTTTCCCGGCGTCCGGCCTCGTCGGGCCTTGAGCAGAGTTTATCTGTAGTAACCTTCAGGACAAGAACGTCTAATGAAGAGGGGAGCTGCGCTGTGCCCGTTCCTTTCATACGAGAACTGGAACGAAGTGTCAAATTCATTTTCTCTTTTTTTTTGTGGAATTGAAAGTATTGCTGTCAAAGGTGTTTAGTTGTGCTATTTATTTGTGTGTCCATATCGTGTATAAATGTTTAATGGAGCCGCTTTTTGAAAGGTCTGAAACACATTGATTTTGTTTTCTTTCTTTTTTTTAGGTTTGCGGACTACGGCTGTATGCTGGAGGTCAGAGACGTCAAGTTCTTTCCGGATGGCCGATCAGTAGTGGACACCATTGGTGTGTCCCGTTTTAAAGTTTTAAGCCACGGGCAGAGAGATGGCTATAATACTGCTAAAATAGAATACCTAGAGGACAAGAAGGTACCTCCTGTGCTTTTGTTGATACAAATTATAAGCCTGTTCCAACCTCATATTTGCAAAATATTGTAAATACCTCATTCTTCCATCTCAGAAGCTTTGCCAGTCTGTGTTCTCTGTTGTCTCTGACTAGTTTAAGAGCTGCTCAACTCCCTTGTCTTCTCTAGAGTTCATGACTGTAATGTCCTGCTCGCTGGTGTGTCTAAATCCACACTGAACAAGCTTACCTTTTGTTTAATGAATGTCTGTCTGCCCCTTTGCTTCTTCTGCCACACTCAAAACTGTTTTTTATTGTGCTGTTACTGTTATCTCCCATCGTTGTTTTTTCTTTACTGTAAAGTGCTTTTAAACCTTATGAATGGCAGTGAAGGATATCGCATGGTGCTGACTGACTTTGCTCTTTTGCCCCCAGGCGGAGGGAGAGGAATATGTCGAACTGGTGCGTATCCATGACTCTGTGTACGATCAGGCCGTGGCCTGGTTTACATCTCTCCGAGACAACATGAAGAATCAGATTCTCAGCCACTTTGGATCCATGCCTGGAAAAGAATCGGATCCTCAGGTAAAAGGAAATTTTTAGTTCATCATCCGATCTGTCAGAATATTGATTGTAAGAGTTTCACTTGAGCTGGGATTATTGAAATGTACCTAATGTGAAGCAAGAGTAGTAAAACTCTCCAGTCCATTGCTGATCAACATATTTGCATTTACTAGTATATCCGTAGGTTAAATTGGGGAAAAAAAAAATCACATTGATGTGGGCATGATCCTTGTAGGTTTTCCAGTTCAATAGGAATCGGTATCTTTACTAAATCATTACTAAAGAGCCATTAAGTGTCCCTATATCCATGCATTCCATGATTTAGTGCATAAGGTCTAGATCCTTCTCACATTTCATAACATGCTGTGTTAATCCAGATTAGTGCTAAAAAGTCTTGAAGTGTTACACGTAATAATTAACATTAACAATAATACGTATGGTACTGCTGCTTTTGGTCATAATATGGAATATAGTGCTTTTATTATAATCAATTAAAGGATTTTCATTTGCACCCAGTTATATAACTGGACCAGTTACTGAAAGTGAAGAATCCAGCTCATGGGAATAAGATGGAATTTGAACCCGCAACCTTCCAGTTCCGAGTCCCATAAGGCTGCCGCCTGTTGTGGCTGGGAGTAAGGGTGTCGGCTCTGTCTTGCTTTCTCCCTAGGCCAGTCCCAGCGGACCCGCCTGGTGCTGGTGGCTCCTGGCCGTCCTTCCCCTGGAGAACCGAGCTCAGCTCACAATCCTGGCCATGACGTCGCTCAAGGACCGCCTGAATGCGATCCGACGCGTGCTCATATTCGTCACCCGCAAAAGAGCTCGATGACGGCCGTGGGTCCTCAGGGCTTTTCCGTTTTCTCGGCGTGGAAGTTTCTTTCATTTTGAAAATCCCAAGTGAGCGCTCGCCCCCTGAAGTACAGACAAGTAAGGCTCGTATGTGATAATCAGTGCTGGGGATGCCCCCTCCAGTAACATCTGTTTTTTTTTTTTTGTGCCAAATGAGCATTAAGAAATTCTGAAAACCATCACGGAAACGCTCTGATTTTCCCTGAAACCCCACGGCCTTTCCTGCTGCACTGGAGTGGAAGTTCGCAGAAGTCTGTAGCACAAAAGGCTCTCATCGTGGCCCTGAGCTTGGGATGCGAGCTACTGTTACTCAGTATCTTTATTTTAACATTCGTATTTCAGACTGTGCCTGTTTACCCTGACATATATGAGCCATTCTGCTGGAATTTGTTTCACAAGAAGCGATTGCTGCATTGTCTGGGCTGGGGCGGGGGGGTTCTTGGAATTGTATTCTGGCTGGCCGAAGCACAAAAAATGCCTCTGGGTGACTTAACTAGGAATCGCCAGGTGTGGTTTATTCGTTTGTCTGCATTGCAAATTTATCAAATGTATTCATCATGTTGAATGCTGAAATGCGGGTGTCCTTTGCTTGTCATTTGCACCTATACTCACTCTCTGATTTACGAACACCCAGCTGCTGTATTGAAGCATTTATTTTCATACCTGTTCTTCGCAGTTATGAAGACATTTTTGCTGCAACAAAATCCTGGCTTTCATATCCGAATGGAAGATGCTATCCTCGTGGTCATGTGGGTGGTCACTGTTCCTAGAATATTTGCATTTACCTTGATAACTACTGTACTGGGTTAGTTAACCATTATAATGAAGCAATAGCTTTCTCACTTTGACTTTCTTGGTGCTCTGTTAGAATAAAAATAATAGTATGATTTTCTTGACCTTCCAAGCAAATCTGAAGGTTTTCCATGCATTGTGTGCTGTGGGAGTTTTATTTTCGGCTTACAAAATTTAATTTGTGAAACGTTTCTGAGGAGAGTGCTGCATTCATAAATTCGGGGATGGGAGTACATCAAACATCCTTCATCCTATTGTGCACCTTCTAACAAATTAGGTACTACAGATGGATACATGATCAGTGGTTTACAAAAGCTGTTTGATTTGTCTCTTGACTGTGCTGTTATGCAGACTTTGAGATCATGACCTTTTCACCTTCAAAGGGTTGCTAGAAGAGGGAGATGTAATTTAAGAATGAGCTTCATTTTATTTATACACTGGTAACTGCGCCTGGTGACCCACACACCTGCCGGTTTTCATGCCAGCCCGCCTTCATTAGGGAACCGAAGCCTTACTTGATCTAAGAAGTTGCTGCATTGAAATATTTGCGTTGTCTCTAGTCGCATGACTGGGATTTTATTTCACTTAGAAGATACAATGGCGAAAGCTCTAAGGAGTTCAAGAGCTGGGAACAAAAGGTTCACATTTATCTTGATGTTATCAAGTCAGTGAGGGTGTAACTGAGGGCTCCGCTGGAACACGCCCCCCCAGGTGTGTGAGTCGCCAGGACTGGGGACTGCTGGGCTAACAGTAAAATGGATTAATCTGGCCCGTTCGGAACTAAACAGTATGAATTACAGCTGAAAATATTGTATCCTGTTTTATAGGTCTGCAAAATGTTTTAATTACACAGGATATAAAGCTTTTTGGGAAAAAAAGTAAGTTGATGTACGATTTTTCGTTAAAGAAGGGGAAAATGTTGTTCATAAAGACACCTCTTCATCAGCTTGCCAAAGAGGTTATAGTTCGGTAAATTTCATCCTGCTTATTCGTTTCCTTTAAACAAAGGGCTGTGGCATGTATTTCAGGTACATGAAGGAGGAATTGCACCTTGATAATGATATTTCATGACTGTCGTTGCCATTCACAGGGCCGTGGTTGGTCTGTTCGTGCTCCAGTTGAAGCTTTTCCAAAAAACATGGGAGGGAAACAAACTCCAGAAACCTTGAGCTCAGATGCCCCCATGTTGAAATTGTACTTCCGTTTTAAGTGTGCAGGGTATAACAAGCTTAGGTTTGTGAAGTTTGGTTTTCAAGAAGTTGGATCTAAATGAAACTGTTGTTTAACTTACGGACGCTGCTGAAACGCACTAGTGAAATAAAAGGTGGAGAAGGATGAACTCGGGAATGAAAAGGAGTTTCTTGAGGATGAATTGCACATTCGTTCGCCTGTATGTTTTCACTCCGAGGTGAAAGAGAGGAGCTGCCTTAAAATACCGGGATCTGACCTTGTGAAATGCACTGTACCTTATGTACCGCTCGGCAAGTGGTAGCATTGTAGATCTTTGTAAAAGTGACTTGAGATTACAGATTGAACATGCACTGTGTCTGGCCAAAGTAAAGAATGTTACTGTCTAATCTGGAATACGTCACGCAATGTGTGTGTTGTTTAGTATTTTAACTTTGCAAAATGTTTTGAGACATTAAAGGGTCTAATTCAATTCCTGTGAAGCGATCCAGGCTTCAGTCTCAATTTACTATACTTTTTAAAGGGGGCTGGGTGGTGGATTGAACTAGTATTAATTTGTATGTTGTAACTGACTTAATGTGAATGGTGTTACTGTATGATTTTGTTAGCTTCAGTGACTCATAAAAAAAAAAAATCAATGTACAATTGAGGCCTTTTAAATGTTTCCTGTAAGACTTTTTCTACCTTCAGTTGACTCTTTTCTCAGTATTTGTTCATGTGTGAATCATCCACTGTTAGCCTTTCATTTCTTGTCTAGTGTTATCACAGAAATGCTGCATTTATCACCTACTGTATATTTGTATGATAAAAGATAAGGTATATTTAAATGATGTTGTATTTGAAATAAAAGATGCAAAAGACGCACTGTCTGCATGGGTTTATTACACAAAGACAGGCAAGGACTGTGAGAAGGAAAAGGAAGCAGATGTTAATAAATTTGGGGAATATGGCAGGCAGTTACAATCCACATGGTAGGCAGATTCAAGGTATTACATATTCGTCTTGGAACAAAGATCTTACAGGTAGCCTGTGACGGTCACTAAGAATATTGATAGGGATGGAGTCTGAGAGCAACTGTTTTCTCCAACCCTGCTCACAGGGCGGGTCGTGTTCCTCCTACAGTTTGCTTTCGATCAGAAAGCTGGCCCCGAGCAGTAAGGCTTTCAGTTTCTCGTCCAGGTCCCGTGGGAACTTCACCGCCACCACGTCTCCGAAGTCGCCCTGAATGCTCCCAAAGTACTGTCCCGTGATGGCGCCGAGCCTGGTTTTCCAGCTCGGGTCAAAAACCTACGAGAGGAGCAAGGCGGAGTCGCCGTTAACCGGCCCGGAGAGAGAATTCCTTCGAGTCCGAAACGCCGACGGGTACTTTGCGATCAATTTAGTTTACACAACCGAAAAGCTTATAGCTGTCAACTTTAAAACGCCCTTTCTTAGGAATTTGGACCCACAGGATTGAGTTCGGGCAGTTGCTGACACTATTCAGTCTCGGCCCCCCAGTTTGGTTTCAAAATATTGAACTTTGCCGAATGCAGCCTGGTTTCTGGTTGAACCCGCTCGCCGGCGGCTCGGTTCTCACCGTGAAGTCCGGCGGGGAGCAGCAGGTGATGTACCCGGGGCCCCTTATCCGCAGCGCTGGTTCTCCTCTTGAGTCCTTGATCACGTACCGAGGCCCCCAGGGGTGCAGCAGCTCTCGCACGAACCCCACCACCACCCCGGGGGGAGCCTGCACCTCCATCTGGAAAACGGGATTAAAGAGGGAGCACGGAAGACGCTGCCCGGAATGTGCAATGTGCACAACACCTTCACAGCATCTCCCTGTCGCTTCGGCACCGCTGCACGGCTAGAGCAACGAGTCACACGCGGACTTGGACAACAGCTCAATCTGATATCGTTGCCTCTATACCGTTATCACGAACGGTTTGTACCCGGCTGTACAGTGCATCGTCTGGCCCCGGGAGGTTTTGACCTGGAAATTCAGGCCGTCAAACGCTGGACAGGAGGGGAACAAGTCAGGGGAAAGTCCTTCTGCGTTAGCACTTTAAATTTGCTTTGACACGCTTTTCCTCCCCTAGCTTCCATTTAACTCTGAGACATGCGTGACTCTAGTCTGCACTATAAAACGCATTTCAGAATAAATGCGTGGGATGTCTATTCCCGATATCGCATTGTCTTTACAATCTTCTTTTGTGCAACGTTTCTCGACGGGCCCAAAGCCACAATGCGAGATGATGCCGCACCGCAAGCGTTTCGTGTATTGGATACTAAAGGATTTTCTAGCGCACGGGTTTTTTACCCAACCCCTATCTGAACATGAACACTAATTAGCTATGAAAATGCTGTCTCCTGTACTTTTCTTCAATTCGCAGAGGTGTAAAAAAATTGCTTGAGGAGCTTCAGCGTCCCACAGAGGAGATACTCGATGGCACCTCCCTCCGAGGTTTTCTGCCTGGAATAGTCTCCAGTCACTCCAGAGCTTCCCTGGGCACGGACTGGCTGAGGGACAGCAGTTAATGTCGTGCTCAGATATACGCCTTGACCAGGCTGAGACAAATACATGAACAATACAATACAATACAAATACATGAACGTCCTCCACGTACACATACAATCCATGCAGGACAGTGCCACCCACACTCCCACCAATCTTGCACTCCCATGCAAGATTCTCAGTAACAGACACATGTGAAAGCCAGCCTGAGCCTGGTGCTGGATTATCAGGAGGCCATGACTGGGAAGGGCCAATGGGAAATTTGGCCAGGACACCAGGGTAACACCCCTACTCTTCTTGAGAAACACCCTGGGATTTTTAATGACCACAGAGAGTCAGGTCCTTGGTTTTACGTCCCACCCGAAGGACGGCGCCTGTTTACAGTCTAGTGTCCCCGTCACTCTACTGGGGCATTAGGACCCACGTGGATCACAGGGTGAGCGCCCCCTGCTGGCCCCCCTCACACCTCTTCCAGCAGCAACCTTAGTTTTCCCAGGAGGTCTCCCCTCCAGGTACTGGCCAGGCTCACACCTGCTGAGCTTCAGGGGGCTGCAGGGTGATGTGGCTACTGGCCATCCTGTCACACTGTTCCTGATTGGCGGTTCTGGTAACTTGGATCGGTAACTGGTTTTGTTGTGTCCTAATGCACGTGCAGCACTACGTCCCTGTTGCCCAGAGCTCCTGGTCAAGGCTCTCTGCTGGGAGTGGGGGGGGCGGCTCACCTCTTGCGCTCCCCACGGGAAGCACAGCGAGCAGACGAAGGGCTGGCGGAGGCGGATGGACTCTCGGGCGCCGCGGTCATAGATCTCCATCTGGAAAGCCCGGCGGTGTCCGCGGAAGGACTGGCTCTGGTGGTCGGTCCTCTGGACCGCGCAGTACATCATCTGGCCCCGGGCGGTTTTCACCTGGAACTTCTGCGTGCAGGGCAGGCCGTCAAACGCTGCACAGAAGGGGAACGAGTCAAGGGACCGTCCTTCGGGAGCACTTTAAAATTGTTTTGACACGCTCCCCCCCCCCAATTTCCATGTCACTTTGAGACCGCCGTGACTGGGGTCCGCACGGTAAATGCATTTCAGAATAACGTGGTATCTACTTCCAATAATTCTTCAGAATTTTCTTCCACAGTCTTCTGAAAGGTTTACAAAGCAGAGGACAGAGAGCGTTCAAATGAGAAGCCCTTAATTTACTTAGGCAACATTCCTTCAGTGATATGGGACAGCAGCTTTATCACAGACAACTCATGAACTATTCAGGAGCTTAGTTCACATTTGTGATGTCAAAACATCTCCTAAAAGCTCTGCACAAATATCTGTGCCCTAAATCAATTTACACTGATCTTTCACTGGGATTTGGTACCTGCATGTATACCAAAATACATGGAGCACCTGTTGTCACTGCTTTTGCGACTGGGAGAAAAAATATCTCCCATATAGATTGTGTGCTATATATCTGGATACTTACCTTCAAGAAGAACTCTCTGGGGATGCAGGAGGACTTGGTCAACCTGAAAAATGATAAAGGTTCCTGAATGTAAACAATTATTCATAATTTCTTACACTTCACCTCCACCACCAGTGTGCAGCCCCACCTGGATGATGCTCCAGTACTCTCCCCACACTCCAGCTCTCAGTGGGGAGGAGAACAGAGTGATGAAGCCAGTTCAGACATGGGGGTTATTAGGAGGCTGGTAATGACTGGTAAAGGCATTGAGAATTTATGGCCAAGATGCAAGATAAAACCACTATCTTTTTGAGAAATGATTTGGGATTTTTAATGGCCATACCGAGTCAGAACCTCAGTTTTACATCTCATCAGAAGGACGGCACCTGTTTACAGTATTGAGTCCCCGTCACTATGCTGGGGCATTAGGACCCACACAGACTGCAGGGTGAGCGCCCCCTGCTGGCCCCACTAACACCTCTTCCAGCAACAGCCTTAGTTTTTCCCAGGTCTCCTATCCAGGTACTGACCAGGCTCACACCTGCTGAGCTCCAGTGAGCTGTCATCTGTGATTTATGTTGGTTACATATTTTTATCTTTTAAAATATATCTTTTAATCTGAGACAATTTAAGTATAGTATTACTGAACAACTATTCAAGTTCCAGAAAAGGTACTGGGATATCAGAATTACTGCAAAGCACATGGAAAAGCTGTCTTGCCCACTACATAGTCATTCAGTTAAGTTCAATCCTTTTGCCTGTAAAATATGCATCAGGATTTTAATTATGTTATGGACATTTTGACAATGAAGTGCCGTCGTTATTCCCCGCATAAAACATCGTTTTGCCACTGATAGGGATCAAGCAGGCATACACACCACCTGGTCTGGCCTGAACAAATGTACATTAGCAGTGGTTTTTACAGAGCATTTACACCGCTGTTGCTGGGCAGAACTTCCAATGGAAATGCCTGTGGAATGAGCTGCAAGTGCAGCTTTTTGCCAGTAGATAGCGCTA